AATGTCCTTATGCACTATGGAAAGAAAATATATAAGTATTTGATGGGGTTTAAAAAATCCCCTTATTTTGTATGGAAAAGGGCCCATTATATATTGTGTTTTTTAAACATTTTAAAATTAACTTTGGGTAAAGAAATAGGGTGTTTTGGGGGAAACCCAAAGCTTTGGTAATTTTTATCATAAATTGTAATATTTAGTTTATTTGCGACAAGTCATTTAGGGGGTTTATTTAATATATGATTTAAATTTTGGGTTTTAAGAATAAGTGCACATACACGAATGTGTATATCATGCGTAAAATGTATACATATATAAATGCAGGGCTCCCTTTTCCCACATGCTTATAAAGGGCCCTGACGTTTTTTGTTTGGAAGTCTGCTGGGTTTGGGGTTTTTTTTAGTAGAAATTTTTTTCAAAGGCCATTCATTGGGAAAATTTAAAGTATGATAAATTTTGAATGGGGGCGGGACATACGGGGGGGGGGGGAGAAAATGTCCGCTGTGTCGGCACTGGCAATGAAAGGTATTTAAAGGAGGTTTGAAGGTTAAAGTGGAATTTAAAAATATATAAAAAACAAAGTGGGAAAAAAAAATGCAGATTGTTTTGGGTTTGGGTTTTCCTTTTTTTTTAATAATAAATGAAAGAATATTGTTATGTTATCTTTTTGTAAAATTTTCTTTAAAATAGTTTTCATTGGATGTAATGTTATGACAAAAGGGGTTTTAATTTTTTAGTAAGAACCTTTATAATGTGTTTTTATTTATTTAATGTATTTTTGTTTTAAATAAAAAAAATAAAAAAAAATTAATTGTTGAGTGTTTCCCAATTTAAAAAACCCAAATTTGCTTAAAACCTTTTGCATAGCCCGTTATTTTTCTGCTGGAAAAAAAGATATTTTAAAATCGCCCAGTATTAAATTTTCTCGCAATTTTTTTTAAGTCCGGACAATTTCTCTGGAAAAAATCTTCTAAGAACTGGTCCTGGGTTTTGGGGGGCGGTAAAAATAGTTCCTACTAAGAAAGGGTTTTGGGCTTGGGAAACAAACACTTAAACCCTAGAATCTCCAGTTTTTTTGTTTTTTAAACAGGCTTGGGTTTTAAGGGTAAGTCATTTCTAATGTAGGCACATAAATCCACCACCCCTTTTGTTTCTAAACGTTTTTTTATTGGGAAACCCTTTTATTTGACCCGTCGTCATCAACCCTACATTTCCCAACCCCCGGGTTTTAAGAGGGGTTAAAAAAATGCCGCCCTAATTTTGTTGCTAGAAAACCTAATCCCCTGGGCCCAATTTTTAAAAAAGTGATACGACAATTTAAAGAGGGCACAGTCTCCGTTTTTTCAGGACTATATCTGGTTTTCCCCGGATGAGGACCAATATTTCATTTTAAAAAAATGGGGGCCCTTTAAATGACAAGTTTCGGCTGTCATGAAATTAAATAGTTTTTTCCCTTTTAAATCGCCCAGTGGATTTCCAAATCCACAGTTAAAGAGGGCAGGATGATGAGCATTAAAATCTCCAGCTAGAATTGTTGGAATATTTCTGCTTAATAATCCTATGTAGAGGAATTGACTCTATATATTGTTGTCTCAGGGGAAAATATCCAGTTCCTATCACTAGTTGGCCATGAGACGTCGTCATTTCTGTTGCAAGAATGTTATCTTCATCAATATGAATATTTTTAAATCCACAGTAGAGTAACCACGTAATTTAATATGTTGATCAACTCTCGCAGCTGTCTCATTCAAGAGTATAACATCGGGATTGTAATTATGTAGTTCAACTTCAAGGAGGTAACGGTTATAAAGAAATGTTGAACTTTAAATTTTGGAAAATTGTAATCCCCATTATTTCTTGCACTTCGCACGTGTACTGCGGTCTGAACGCCTGCAAGTAATGTCATGTTTGGTATACACACTATCCCTGCTGGACTCGTCAAGGGGAGGAGGGAAGTTCTGAGTAGTTGCTTGTGTATTAAAAATGTCACCATCCTCACTAGAATTGGTAATATTCTAGAGTCATTAGAGTCATCATCATAAAACTGAGGTGTGATATTCCCAGTTTCAGGAAGCAGAGGCTCGTGAGAGTTAATAGGAGACTGTGGAGGCTCCAAGGGAAAATTTGGTAGGCCAGGTGAATTACCCTGGGAAAGTTCCTGTTCAACAGGATCAGCTGCAATAGCGGAAGAGTAAGCACCAATCTCTGGGCAATCGTTGGGGTCAGGTACTGACTCATCGGGTTGAGGGGAGTTGACAACCTGGGTATGCGAGGTGGGTGATCCCTGGACAAGGGATGACTTAGGCTTATTTGTAGAAGTACAATATGGTACATACTTCTTGTTATGAGAAGGCTGGGCCATAATAACCTTGACATTATCTGGGATAGTAATGGGAGTGATCCCATTAGCCATTAACAAATCATTTAAAATCTTAGAGCAGAGCTGAATATCACCACCTGCTATGTCTTTGGCCATCATATACATTAGTTGCGCTCTCGTCATATCCCGCTGAGGATACCTGAGACATGGGAGATGAGACTGAACCTTGTTGTTGCGTTTTGTTAATGTTGTTTGGTGAGGGTTAGATTGGGGCACTCCAAGAGGGGCAGAATTCCAAACATTGGAACCAGTGGAAGAGACCTGAGGAGTCCCACTAGATCCAGGCAAAGCTGGGAAGGAAGTTTGGGACATTGTTGGAGGTGCCTCGGAGTGTTCTTCTTAGATTGGACAGTTTCTTAGCTTCTAGAATTTCTGCATTTCCTTTTTCCTCTCGGGACAGATAGCAGAAACAGCATGATGTTTTCCATTGCAGAGGACACACTTGGGTTTAGTTTTGTTATTACAATCTTTAAAGAATGTTGCCCAGAGCATATGCTGCAAATCAGTGCTTGGCTACTGCATTTGTTGGTGGTATGACCAAATGCGTAACATTTGTAACATTGTGTAACACTGACAAACTGCTCAAGAGAGATTTGGTCAGGTGTACATCTGGTGCCAAAACATTTGAAGCCATTTTGACACACTATTTTGGCTTCTTCAGGTGTCTCAAGTATTAACTTTAATGTTTCCTGGTTGTTGCCAGGTTTAGAAAATTTATGTGCTTGGACAGCATGAAATTCTGAATTCTCTGCATTAAAATCAGCAAGAAGTTCATTCACTGTGCTATCTCTCATGATGTTGTTAATTATGGCAACAAACACAAATTCGCTGAGCTTGATAGCTTTCAGGTGCAATTGGATGGATACCAAAAGTGTTCAGTTTGTCCAGGACATCCTGCTTAAGTAGTTGAAGTAACTCTTCTTCAGAAGAGAGGAGAAGTACTACCCCAGCGAGAGTTGTAAAAACATCCACTGGAGCAACAGCTGAATTTGAGCAAATGCATGCTAGAATTTCTTTTCTCGACTTTTGGTTGTCATCAATCCGTAATCTTACTCTTATCCGCGCCATGATATCCATGAAGGTACATCTGGCACATAAGTTACTTTAACAAAAAGGGTCTTTCCTTAGTGTTAGTCTAACATCCTATTTCAGCTGACTTATGAAGGTCAGCCCCTAAGATAGCCTACCCTCGAGTAGTGAGGGGAAAGGGCCCAAGGCAAAGATCGGCTGGATTTTAAAAAACCACGCGGGCTACCGGATGGTCAAAATGCCTTGTGTTAACTCGCCAAAGCGAAGTTGCCGAAAAAGAAGATAGGAAAGTCAGAAGGATAGCAATGTATGTAGTGTGTTAGTGTGTGGGCCAGTGTAGTTGTTTGGGTGAGGGGAGGATGGGGAAGAGAGGGGTGAACAAGCAAGCAAGTCACCGCCTTACCCTCTTGATGGGATGGTGCTCGAAGTGACTGCAAGCAAGTTTCCTCTCAGCTCTGGTGAAGAACTACTCAGGATAACCCAAGAAATTGCTCTGCTCGAGAATTACTCAGGATAACTGAAGAGCAGGAACGACGACGTCTTCTCTCCACGGCGGCTGGGCGGCTTCCTGTGTCGTGTATCTGTGTCTATGTCATTTGTGTCTGTCCTAATATAGCCTAACCTCACCTAATTTAGCCTAACCTAACCTGCCCTACCCTAATCTTTTTTTACAAGTGGTACCATTCAACACAGAGCAATGCAGGAATGTCACTTCATAGGAAAGACACACTCCAACAGCCGTATAGACTGTGTTAACACACTACAACATGCTGTGTTTTTTTATGCAGTGATACCGTGAAAGGCATTTAAGCCTTCATAAAAAAAGTGTTAGTGTGTGTGTGTGTGTGTGTGTGTGTGTGTGTGTGTGTGACCCAACAACTAATATTTGCACCAATAACTCAGTTGTGACCGGGTGTAGACGTGCGAATTGTTCATTACTCTATAATTTGTTCATGATTGTAGCCATGTATAAAGGTAAGTAAGTAACTTTACTTACAGGATTCATTACCTTTGTACCTAGTTCAGATATCAAAACTTTGGGGCCCAGTCCCTGGACCCACTATGTACTTCTAACATTTTGACTACCGCCCACAGGATGGGTATGGTGTGCATAATAAACATATTAAACTAAAAAATCATAAAATTTATTATTATTATTAGTAGTAGTAGTAGTATCATCATCATCCTCGTCCTCATCTTGTCTGTGTATGCACATGTTGATTTATGGCGTTTAAACCCTATTGTCCACACGAGGGTCGGACTGTTACATGTCATAGGGAAAAATAAACACAACTGCAGTATAATATGATCCTTTATTAACAACGTTTCGCCCACACAGTGAACTTTATCAAGTCACAAAAATCTGTCTCACTTGATAAAGCAAAACGTCAATAAAGGATCACATTATACTGCATTTGTGTGAATTTTTCCATCTTGTCCGTATTTTATACCATTTATCGCCAACATGTCAGCTGTTCACCACCTGTTGACCAACATTATTCCTCGTGACAAACTAAGTTTTTTGGATACACCTAATCATTGCATTAAATATTTCATACGCATAACATTACATTAAAATTTGCATCATGTTCAGTTTCCGAGGAAAGATGAGTAATAATATGTTTATTCTTTTCAGGATGAATTATTCAAAATTCATATCAGCAGTTTCGGCCAGAAGAAAACCGTCAGGAATCAGTGACTTGCGTAAGAATTACGTTGCTTCCGTATTTTATTGTGTTCTTCAATTGCTCACTGAGACAGAACTCAAATCTATGAAGTCAGGTTGGTGGTGGTATTTTGTTGGGAGAAATGAGAACATTTCTCATGGCATAGGTCCTTTAAGGTTCCTTAATGCTGATGAGGGGCTCTTGATGCAGGAATGGCTCGAACGTGATTGCCTCCTATTCCCCCGAGACTGTATCACCCTACGACCTTACAAGTTTAGCGCTTCCTCTTAAGTGTAGTAATAACTAGATGTATTTCGGTCGCTGCACGATTTGAGAAAGGTATTCCCTTATTGCATAACCTCGGTCCCCTGTACTTCAATACAAGCGAAAAGCATAGTGCAGAATGTGGCATAAGTTTGTAATGCAGATAAATATTGGCGTTGAAGATTTTAAGTGATAGGGAAGAGGCATTCCCAATTATCACATGGAAACTAATATCTCAGTTTCTTTAATTTAAAAAAATGACAAAGACATACACAGCCCAACACAAGTTCAAACTTTCCACCAAGAAAGACCAACTTTGAAAGTTCAAAGCCCAGCTGAAGAGGCATTCTGTAGTTATATCAGAATAGTTAATAAAAGCAGTGGTGCTGTGTTCCATCGTGCACGTGACTCCAACCACAATATAAAGTTTGAAATGTGAGCACTGAATAAAATCATTACAGAAAGAGGTGATTTGTAGTGCCAAACTTTGTGTCGACTCCAAACTTTTAACGAAGTAATTTTCGCCCATGTCACTGGATATCGTAGCATGTGTTTCAGAGTAAAACCGCCTTTTAGAGTCAGGTAACTAATTAGATGTTTCCCAACATATACCATCGGTCAGTCAACAGCTGTCTTTCCGGATGTGCACAAGTGTGCAAATGACCCACCAAACCTCAACAACTCCACCCCAATGTACTTCCCCCCTCCAGAACGCAAGTTCATCTAACAAATTTTCCTGAATACCTTCATCGATTTTACCTTTCCTACACACCAGCAGCACATGATATCCCAAGAAAAAGCACACGTCTCCACTCAATACACATGACTGTAAGATGCTTAACCTCTTACCTCTCAAAAACCTACTTCATAACCTCTAAATTAACTCTTTATGCAATGTCCGCTACACCTATCCACCCTTGATTTATACACTTCTTGTGCAGCCTATCTTGCCTCCTCTGTCTTCTGAACTGTATCTTTCATACCAACAAGCCAGATTCTCCATTCCTTAGTTTTTGTATAATATTTATGCCATACTAATCTCGAAGCACATCTCCACTGCCTCCAGCCGCCTCCTTACTGCAACATGGAATAATGTCATCTCTCACACCTATGCAAAAATACTAAACTACAATGCTTTTGATACAATGACAAACCTCTTTCCAGAGACTCTTCAAAACACTAGCTACCTTCTTCACCTCATCTATTCGTTGATTCTCGTGATCTTTCATACACTTATCTGTCCACACATCCTCTCTCCCAGATACCTAAATATATTCACTTCTTATATATTTTCAAGTCTAAATCAAATCTCTCATGGCATAAATATCCTCTTACTTTCATTGCCTTATTTTGCTGCCAATTTTTTTATCCACTTTAGACGCTTATATGAGTATCTTATTATATGCTTCGCACTTGCTTGCTATGGAAAGCTATAATTAATAAAATATATGTGTCAGAGAGTGGGCGGTTAATCACTTGTCGATACCTGGTACTGTGTAGCTGATCAAACAAATATTTAGAGCAAGTAATGAGGAGAGTTAGCCAGGTATATATGAATTGGTTAGAATTATAACCATAATATTTAAGGGGTGGAGGGGTAAGCCAGCGGAAGGCCTTCGTCAGATGACCGAAAGTTCCAGCGACGGGTCATGATATGACTAAGACCCGTGTCGGGAAACACTTGTCCTGGTTCCTGACAAATCTTACCTAATCTAACATAAAGTCAGTTGAAATTAAACTGTGTGCGGTCATAGTCTCCACTGGCTTGAAATCTGAATGTAACAACCTTGTGTATTCAGCTAGACACAGATATACACAAATTATTAAGAACGGGATTACAGTTAAAGTTTTGTGGATTGTCTCTCACATAGGCCTCCAAGAGCATGATAACGTTAGAGAGGAACCAGCAAACGAACTTGAAGAAAGCATAACAGTACAGATACCAACTAGCAGATCTATTATCAGTCATAATGAACTGTATCAAGTTTAACATATCTGAGGAGAGAGAGAGTAACAAGGTCATTAGATCTGCGAGATGTTATTACTGCTAGACTAAAGCTAGCCTAAGAGTACGGCTTGAATGACATAAAATGCAGAGAGAGAAAGAGCCGTACACTGAAACATCATATCTTAGTGTCCAAACATCCAACCTTTGAGAGACATCTCCATGCAAACCTTATATGATATGGCAAAACACTTCATTGTTAATGATAAAGTATCTGAAATATTGAGGTTGTATCGACATTTTGCACCTTACGGTGCTGTAACTTTATGTTAAAGCACTTTACGGTGCTGTAACTTTATGTTAAAGCACTTTACGGTGCTGTAACTTTATGTTAAAGCACCTTACGGTGCTGTAACTTTATGTTAAAGCACTTTACGGTGCTGTAACTTTATGTTAAAGCACCTTACGGTGCTGTAACTTTATGTTAAAGCACCTTACGGTGCTGTAACTTTATGTTAAAGCACCTTACGGTGCTGTAACTTTATGTTAAAGCACCGTACGGTGCTCTTCACACCAACGTACAGTGCACTAATTTTCATACTTATATCACAGGATATGGTATACACCGAGAAGTGTATACCGCATCCCTGTTTTAAGAATTCAAGTATTCTTGTTTGGTAGTGATAAGTAAAGTTACATGCTTAATTAATGACTCCAGTGTACTCGACAGACTTTAAACCCCATTAACCAATCAACCAACCTTTACAGAATTGTTGTTGACTACGCCATCGCCGTCAATGGTGTGGTTGGCCTCAGGGATACCTAACCCAAAACAGTTTCCTTTCAAGAAGGTGAGCATCACCTTACAAGATGATAGGTTGCTCACCCTCACACCAGACATGCTGTGCTCTGCTCTCCAGTATGGTCCTACACCAGGGTGAGTAGCACCATATATGTAAAACATATAGCTTCGTGAATAAACAGAAAGGCGGACTGAGGTTTCGAGCCATAGTCCCGAGATTAATAGGTTCAGGGGCTCGTACCGTGGTCTTGGGACCACGGATCGAGCCCCTTTCCCCCTTCACCTTTCTGCTTATTAATTTACAGTCATTCATGATGCCTTGAATTGAGTTCATATGACTTCATATTTAGGCCAATGAGGTACAAAAATATTAAGATTAGTATTGTGGTCTTTTTGTATTTATTTGCATTATCCATCTCACTTGGTGTCCACTTCTGGAGTTTATACATGGCCAATCTTCCTGCACACAATTCCTGCTTAAACATGTTTTTTTTTTAAATATGTTAGGGAAACAAACACAAGACCAACTAATGAAACATTTATGGGTGCAAACATTAGGACGTGTTTCCTTAAGAAACCCGTTCAACCCGCTGTCCCTGTTTAACCTGGTTGTTAGTCGATTTTTTTTTTTATATTTTATTGAAAATGACACAATACAAGATATAAATAAATAAAAGAACACAACAATTAGCCACTTGCAAATACAATGATCTAGTGTCAACCCCCATCAGACCCCAAGTGTTACAATTATATCGTATTAAAGGGTAAACAATCACCTAACACTGAAAAGAGCATGATAATACCTGCTCAGAAAATACACTAACAGAATCTAACCCTACAATACACTCCTGTTACACTCTACAATAAAACCTCCTTGTACAAAGCACACAGAAGATATGATAAACATAGGAATAAAAACATTATACATTACAATAATGAAACAAAAGGCAAACCTAAGCCTTCAATAAAATTGCCAAGACATACCACCATAATACGTGCTGGAAGCGCATAACAGAGCTCCAGCACGGAACAAAACCATTAACACAAACAAAGCTTACAATTTATGTCAGCGCTCACACCAACCCCTCACTGCTCTGCCCTTGCACAAGTTGCATGTAAATGTCACAACCTACAAATTTTAAAAATACAGAACATTGACCTAAAACGTTAGGCAAAACAAAGCCTATAATAAACATTACATTAGGGCATTTCACAATGAAACCCCACCTAAACACTGGGCAAGACACATCCGCAAGTGAAAGATTTAACATTATGTATACAAGTACAATCCATACAAATAACAAAATCCTATCGTAAGGTATCAAAACGATCTAGTTACAGTACATTAAACCTTATTTCCCTGTTTGAAGCACAAAAATACATCATGAGAAGTTATATAACAAGCCTAAATCTGGCATTGAGTAACTTTAAAACGTAGAAAAAAAAATACAAAACACGTAATAATTAAAGATTGTGATAGTAGGTTCATATACATATATCCCAGAGTATATAAGCCATGTGAAGGCTGATACCTTTTAAAGAACCATACATCAAATACATACTTTTGTGAATATGCTTGAGCTAAGCCAAGCATTAACAGGATATATACACATATGACCGTCACGTTCACCTATTAGCAATACACGACAGGCCATTGCTTGAGATTATCTCATGCGTCGGTGTTCGACATTTATCCATTATCAGTATCACAATAACAATACAGTTATCTTAAATGTCGACCCTAAGGTACATCAGTGTATAACTAATAGTGACGAGGGTCGCCGACGTATGCCAGGGATTGCTCAAACCTCTATAGTTTCAAAATCTAACCTTAAGGCGTCATCATACTGACGACAATATTACTATAGCATGTGTCGATTCTGCTACACAAATGATGTGTATTATAAAAGGTTAACGTACATTTTATTCGATCTATTCACTTGGCAAACAATATAACATAAATTTTTTTTCAAAACCCCGGTTCGTTCTCGTTTATACCTTCTAGACCTTACATGACCTTACATGACCTTACATGACCGCCCCTTCCCAATGTTTCATCATTATTCCTCACCATTTCGAATCCAACCGTCACTCTCGCTCACACACGAAAAGGCCAGCCACGTCTACCCTCTATGGTACTAATGCCCATAAATCACGAACATGAAAATTACAATATCCCACTGAAAAAGTCGAAAGCCATCTACCCCCAGCAATCTATCTATTCCTCTGATGTGTACCATAAAAAATCGCTGCCAGCGCCCTGATCCTCTCTCTTGCTGATACGTGTCTGCAGGCCCATGATGTATATACAAAGTCAGTGACTAGATATCCAATCGCCCTTTGTACCGGCAACCCTACCCCCCCCCACATCTAGACTTAACGCTCTTAAGACACTAATTCCCTCACCTCCCACCATCTGTATAACTCTGCTAAACCACACTCTTACCGCTTCCAATCTCTCACAAAAAACCACTGCGTGGAAAGCCGTGTCAATATCCCCACACACACAACGCTCCTTACCCACTTGTACACGTCTATTCGCTAAAACCTCCCCGGAAGGCAATATATTGTGAGGGAATTTATACATGACCTCCCGTACCCCGGCCCTCAATCGCAACTCCTTCAAGCGACCCCAAATATCACGCCATGCATACATTGGATATATACCCTCTACGCTAGCCACCCCCTCTCTCCCACCCTTGCCAGTTTTCTAATCTTGATTCGACTTGGATCCCTTGCATAAATTAAAACCCTCAGCATGTTCTCGCATCTCGTAACATCCCCACCATTCATCCATCGTACCAAATCCCCTCGAATCCAATTCAAACCTGTACCAACCCTCCGACCCTCACGCAAATAACTATGTTTAACGTACATACTTAATATTCTCATGTGCAGATTCATTAACCCCAGTCCACCCCGACTAGTCGGTAAATACACAACATCTCTCGCTAACCAATCACAACCTGAACCCCATATATATCTAAATACACGCTTCAATAAACGTCTCTCATCACACGCAACTAACGGATACATACTTACCACATGCCACAACTTACCAAACAAAAGCACATTCGCTACAATTACACGCTGATGCAAAGTTAAGCCTCCTGCACGCAACCCCGCCAAGCGACCTAACACCCTATCCACAACCTCACTCGAATTAACCTTCCTCGCTTCCTGAATGCTTCTCATATGAACAATTCCACATACTGTACATAAGTGTGTTTTTCCACACAATTCCACATACCTTGATGTGATTTACTAAAGGCCAACCCTCCTCCTGACCTATGTCCCCACTAATGCTATCTCCCACGTGCATAAGCATTGACTTATCCTTATTGACCATCATCCCCGTTGCTCTCCATGTGTTAGTCGATTAGTGTGGGGTCGCAGCCTGGGACAAAATTGACCTAGTTTGCCTGAAATGCTCTACATAGCAAGCGGCTTTCTGTATAGCATGTCACTGATGGAAATATAAACACATGCAGTATAATGTGATCTTTTATTGACTACGTTTCGCCCACACAGTGGGCTTTTTCAAGTCACACACAGAACTACCTGGGGTGGAAGGAACGCGAGTATTTATAGTCAGGTTCAGAATGCTGAGGTCAGGTGGAGAATGCTTCATCTGATGATGTACCGAGTGGGGTTATAGAGTCTAAAATCTTGGGTAGCTTGGAAAGGAGATTGAATAAGTTTGTGAGCAGACCCCCCACAGTGTTCTCATGTGGGATAGCGATGAAGAAGTTTCTTGGCAAGTGGTTCAGCTGTGTTGTAGAAGCCACTATTCTGGTTGAAGTTGTCGGATATAGAAATAAGTGATGATTCCAGGATTCTTCGGTATTGAGTGTTGTCTTCTGTGGCGATAAGTCTTGAGTTTCTGTAGTTTATCAAGTGGTTGTGTGAATTACGGTGTTGTACGCAGGCATTCCTTGTGTCGTCAGACCTGCTTGCGTATTGGTGTTCTGAAATACGTGTTTGGAGGTCCCTTGATGTTTCGCCCACGTATAACTTGTTGCAGTCGTTACAAGGGATTATGTATACCCCTGCAGAGGGTGGAAGCTTGTCCTGTCTATCACTGGTAATGTCCTTGATGGTCGTGGTTGTGGAGGTAGATACTTGAAATGAGGTATTGGAAAAGATGTTGGACGACACAAGGAATGCCTGCGTACAACACCGTAATTCACACAACCACTTGATAAACTACAGAAACTCAAGACTTATCGCCACAGAAGACAACACTCAATACCGAAGAATCCTGGAATCATCACTTATTTCTATATCCGACAACTTCAACCAGAATAGTGGCTTCTACAACACAGCTGAACCACTTGCCAAGAAACTTCTTCATCGCTATCCCACATAAGAACACTGTAGAAGGTCTGCTCACAAACTTATTCAATCTCCTTTCCAAGCTACCCAAGATTTTAGACTCTATAACCCCACTCGGTACATCATCAGATGCAGCATTCTCCACCTGACCTCAACATTCTGAACCTGACTATAAATACTCGCGTTCCTTCCACCCCAGGTAGTTCTGTGTGTGACTTGAAAAAGCCCACTGTGTGGGCGAAACGTAGTCAATAAAAGATCACATTATACTGCATATGTGTTTATATTTCCATTGTGTCGGTATTTTATACCATTTATTTCCATCATGTCACTGATGTCATTTATTCCTATATACATTGTACATATACTTGTAGAAATGAAGTTTATTATTATTATTATTATTATTATTATTATTATTATTATTATTATTATTATTATTATTATTATATCTTTCTGCGAGGATAGACTGAGGATCCTAAATCTGCACTCTGTAGAAAGGCGTAGAATTAAGGGGCATATGACTGAGGTGTACATTAAAATGGTATAAAATACCGACAGGTTGTTAGGTAAGACACATATGCAACAGTTAGGTATCTTTATTGTGAAACGTTTCGCCTACACAGTAGGCTTCTTCAGTCAAGTACAGGAAAGTTGATAGAAGCAGAAGATACTTGAAGACGATGTAATCAGTCCATCACCCTTAAAGTTTTGAGGTGGTCAGTCCCTCAGTCTGGAGAAGAGCATTGTTCCATAGTATGAAACAATATGGAGAAGAAGTGACAGGATGGAGCTTTTATAGCCCAAGAGGTGAGACGTAGGAGAGGTAAGAACTCAGATGTTGAGAGGTCCCTCTCAAATCCAGCCCCTCTCACTAGTGGAAGTTGTCGAAGTTGATTGCAGGTCTGTACCAAGATACCCTTGTGTTGCAGTGTCTGACAGATTGAACATTAAAATGGTATAAAATACCGACAGGTTGTTAGGTAAGACACATATGCAACAGTTAGGTATCTTTATTGTGAAACGTTTCGCCTACACAGTAGGCTTCTTCAGTCAAGTACAGGAAAGTTGATAGAAGCAGAAGATACTTGAAGACGATGTAATCAGTCCATCACCCTTAAAGTTTTGAGGTGGTCAGTCCCTCAGTCTGGAGAAGAGCATTGTTCCATAGTATGAAACAATATGGAGAAGAAGTGACAGGATGGAGCTTTTATAGCCCCAAGAGGTGAGACGTAGGAGAGGTAAGAACTCAGATGTTGAGAGGTCCCTCTCAAATCCAGCCCCTCTCACTAGTGGAAGTTGTCGAAGTTGATTGCAGGTCTGTACCAAGATACCCTTGTGTTGCAGTGTCTTACAGATTGAACATTAAAATGGATAAAATACCGACAGGTTGTTAGGTAAGACACATATGCAACAGTTAGGTATCTTTATTGTGAAACGTTTCGCCTACACAGTAGGCTTCTTCAGTCAAGTACAGAAAAGTTGATAGAAGCAGAAGATACTTGAAGACGATGTAATCAGTCCATCACCCTTAAAGTTTTGAGGTGGTCAGTCCCTCAGTCTGGAGAAGAGCATTGTTCCATAGTATGAAACAATATGGAGAAGAAGTGACAGGATGGAGCTTTTATAGCCCCAAGAGGTGAGACGTAGGAGAGGTAAGAACTCAGATGTTGAGAGGTCCCTCTCAAATCCAGCCCCTCTCACTAGTGGAAGTTGTCGAAGTTGATTGCAGGTCTGTACCAAGATACCCTTGTGTTGCAGTGTCTGACAGATTGAACATTAAAATGGTATAAAATACCGACAGGTTGTTAGGTAAGACACATATGCAACAGTTAGGTATCTTTATTGTGAAACGTTTCGCCTACACAGTAGGCTTCTTCAGTCAAGTACAGGGACTGACCACCTCAAAACTTTAAGGGTGATGGACTGATTACATCGTCTTCAAGTATCTTCTGCTTCTATCAACTTTCCTGTACTTGACTGAAGAAGCCTACTGTGTAGGCGAAACGTTTCACAATAAAGATACCTAACTGTTGCATATGTGTCTTACCTAACAACCTGTCGGTATTTTATACCATTTTAATGTTCAATCTGTCAGACACTGCAACACAAGGGTATCTTGGTACAGACCTGCAATCAACTTCGACAACTTCCACTAGTGAGAGGGGCTGGATTTGAGAGGGACCTCTCAACATCTGAGTTCTTACCTCTCCTACGTCTCACCTCTTGGGGCTATAAAAGCTCCATCCTGTCACTTCTTCTCCATATTGTTTCATACTATGGAACAATGCTCTTCTCCAGACTGAGGGACTGACCACCTCAAAACTTTAAGGGTGATGGACTGATTACATCGTCTTCAAGTATCTTCTGCTTCTATCAACTTTCCTGTACTTGACTGAAGAAGCCTACTGTGTAGGCGAAACGTTTCACAATAAAGATACCTAACTGTTGCATATGTGTCTTACCTAACAACCTGTCGGTATTTTATACCATTTTAATGTTCAATCTGTCAGACACTGCAACACAAGGGTATCTTGGTACAGACCTGCAATCAACTTCGACAACTTCCACTAGTGAGAGGGGCTGGATTTGAGAGGGACCTCTCAACATCTGAGTTCTTACCTCTCCTACGTCTCACCCTCTTGGGGCTATAAAAAGCTCCATCCTGTCACTTCTTCTCCATATTGTTTCATACTATGGAACAATGCTCTTCTCCAGACTGAGGGACTGACCACCTCAAAACTTTAAGGGTGATGGACTGATTACATCGTCTTCAAGTATCTTCTGCTTCTATCAACTTTCCTGTACTTGACTGAAGAAGCCTACTGTGTAGGCGAAACGTTTCACAATAAAGATACCTAACTGTTGCATATGTGTCTTACCTAACAACCTGTCGGTATTTTATACCATTTTAATGTTCAATCTGTCAGACACTGCAACACAAGGGTATCTTGGTACAGACCTGCAATCAACTTCGACAACTTCCACTAGTGAGAGGGGCTGGATTTGAGAGGGACCTCTCAACATCTGAGTTCTTACCTCTCCTACGTCTCACCTCTTGGGGCTATAAAAGCTCCATCCTGTCACTTCTTCTCCATATTGTTTCATACTATGGAACAATGCTCTTCTCCAGACTGAGGACTGACCACCTCAAAACTTTAAGGGTGATGGATGATTACATCGTCTTCAAGTATCTTCTGCTTCTATCAACTTTCCTGTACTTGACTGAAGAAGCCTACTGTGTAGGCGAAACGTTTCACAATAAAGATACCTAACTGTTGCATATGTGTCTTACCTAACAACCTGTCGGTATTTTATACCATTTTAATGTTCAATCTGTCAGACACTGCAACACAAGGGTATCTTGGTACAGACCTGCAATCAACTTCGACAACTTCCACTAGTGAGAGGGGCTGGATTTGAGAGGGACCTCTCAACATCTGAGTTCTTACCTCTCCTACGTCTCACCTCTTGGGGCTATAAAAGCTCCATCCTGTCACTCTTCTCCATATTGTTTCATACTATGGAACAATGCTCTTCTCCAGACTGGGGGACTGACCACCTCAAAACTTTAAGGGTGATGGACTGATTACATCGTCTTCAAGTATCTTCTGCTTCTATCAACTTTCCTGTACTTGACTGAAGAAGCCTACTGTGTAGGCGAAACGTTTCACAATAAAGATACCTAACTGTTGCATATGTGTCTTACCTAACAACCTGTCGGTATTTTATACCATTTTAATGTTCAATCTGTCAGACACTGCAACACAAGGGTATCTTGGTACAGACCTGCAATCAACTTCGACAACTTCCACTAGTGAGAGGGGCTGGATTTGAGAGGGACCTCTCAACATCTGAGTTCTTACCTCTCCTACGTCTCACCTCTTGGCGCTATAAAAGCTCCATCCTGTCACTTCTCCATATTGTTTCATACTATGGAACAATGCTCTTCTCCAGACTGAGGGACTGACCACCTCAAAACTTTAAGGGTGATGGACTGATTACATCGTCTTCAAGTATCTTCTGCTTCTATCAACTTTCCTGTACTTGACTGAAGAAGCCTACTGTGTAGGCGAAACGTTTCACAATAAAGATACCTAACTGTTGCATATGTGTCTTACCTAACAACCTGTCGGTATTTTATACCATTTTAATGTTCAATCTGTCAGACACTGCAACACAAGGGTATCTTGGTACAGACCTGCAATCACTTCGACAACTTCCACTAGTGAGAGGGGCTGGATTTGAGAGGGACCTCTCAACATCTGAGTTCTTACCTCTCCTACGTCTCACCTCTTGGGGCTATAAAAGCTCCATCCTGTCACTTCTTCTCCATATTGTTTCATACTATGGAACAATGCTCTTCTCCAGACTGAGGGACTGACCACCTCAAAACTTTAAGGGTGATGGACTGATTACATCGTCTTCAAGTATCTTCTGCTTCTATCAACTTTCCTGTACTTGACTGAAGAAGCCTACTGTGTAGGCGAAACGTTTCACAATAAAGATACCTAACTGTTGCATATGTGTCTTACCTAACAACATGACTGAGGTGTATAAATATCCCTTAATTCTACGCCTTTCTACAGAGTGCAGAGTGCAGTAAATAAAGCCGATGTTAAAAACGTGCTAAAAATATCTAAGACAGAACTCGCAGCATTTGGTTCAGTTTGGAAACATTTATATTTAGAAAGGATATAGGCAAGCACTGGTATGGTAATAGAGTTGTGGATGCATGGAACAAACTCCCGAGTAAAGTCATTGAAGCTAAAACGTTGTGCAGTTTTAAAAATAGGTTAAACAAATACGTAAGTGTAGATGAATGGTTCAGAGAACCGACATGTTGATAAATTAGACACATGTGCAACTCTTGGGTATCTTTATTGAGGAGACGTTTCGCCACACAGTGGCTTCATCAGTCCATACATAGGAGAAACTTGAAGAACAGGAGGAGAATGAGGTAATCAGTCCCTCAACCTTGAGTCGATGTGTTCAGTCCATCAATCTTGAGTAGAATACGGTAGATGAGCGGAGAAGCAGCTTATAAACCGTATGGCAGGAGAGGTGCAGCAGTCATAGGTGGTGTTACATTTGTTCAATGTGGAAGTAGGTTGTGCCCAAGAATTAGGCAAGCGAAGAATTCCTAAGTATTAAGATCCCTACTTCCTACTTCCACATTGAACAAATGTAACACCACCTATGACTGCTGCACCTCTCCTGCCATACGGTTTATAAGCTCCTTCTCCGCTCATCTGCCGTATTCTACTCAAGATTGATGGACTGAACACATCGACTCAAGGTTGAGGGACTGATTACCTCATTCTCCTCCTGTTCTTCAAGTTTCTCCTATGTATGGACTGATGAAGCCACTGTGTGGCGAAACGTCTCCTCAATAAAGATACCCAAGAGTTGCACATGTGTCTAATTTATCAAATACGTAAGTGAGTGTGGGTAGGTGTTTGTGTCCGACTGGCTTGGGCAAGTAGGTGACTTGGACATGTCTAGCATGGGCCAGTAGGCTTGCTTCAGTGCTCCTTCTTTCTGTAATAAACATATCATTATTGCTGTGTCAGTATTCATAACATGTTGTCGGTAACTTTACTAATAATTATGTATTTATATTTTTTTTTACCTGTCCCTCTTAATTTCATTTACATTTTCAAAGAGAAACATTATTTTAATTTTGTGGAAAAAAAATCTTTACATGCTTTGCTAACGGGATAGATTCCATTTTTTTTTTTTTTTTTTTTTTTTTTTACATCTGCAGATATACACCACTGTTGAAGCAGCTCAAAGCTATGACAAAACTTCATCACTCTCCACCAAAGTGGGAAGAATGCGACATCTTAGTTACAGCGGGGTGTCAACAAGGTCTGTCTATAGCCTTCGAAATGTTGCTCAACCCAGGAGACATTGTTGTGGTCGAGGACCCTTGCTACTCCGATGTTCTCTGTATGGTAATTACTTTGCTAACTTATTTTTTTTTAGATTACATTATGCATATATAGGTATATTCTATCATTTTACCACCTATCGTCTCCACTCAATGTAGGATAACCTAAAAGGAACATATTTATCACCATAAATTCTATTTAATATTGAAAAATTACGAAAGTGTATGTAATAAATATTGATCATTTTACAATAATATAAAAGTATAAAAGAGTAAAGCCATTGTTAACAAGTCCGGTATTATAGCGATATATCACAGAGCCTCGTAGTGATCCAGTCAAGAGCGTAAATCCCTTGATACAAGTAATAGTTGTAATAAAGTTGGTAGAATTACCGACAATATGTAAAGTAAAAGGACACAAGTGCAACTAATGTGACATTTATTGTGGCAACGTTTCGCTCTCCAGGAGCTTTATCAAGCCATTACCGTAAGGTAATGGCTTGATAAAGCTCCTGGAGAGCGAAACGTTGCCACAATAAATGTCACATTAGTTGCACTTGTGTCCTTTTACTGTAATGGCTTGATAAAGCTCCTGGAGAGCGAAACGTTGCCACAATAAATGTCACATTAGTTGCACTTGTGTCCTTTTACTGTAATGGCTTGATAAAGCTCCTGGAGAGCGAAACGTTGCCACAATAAATGTCACATTAGTTGCACTTGTGTCCTTTTACTTTACAAGTAATAGTTGTTACCGTCTTCCATTGATTAAACATGATTGCTTCCCATTCCCCAAGTTGCATGACTGGATGGTTACCGGGGCAATAAAATCGACAAGTGGGTGTATATACACGTAATGCAGATCAGGTATTTATTTTCGGCTACGTTATGTGTAGGACTGAACTTTATCAAGTCGGCAAAAAAATACTACATAAATATACTTGCTAGTGAAGCGGAAGGGAATGTGAAGTCAGGTCATAGGCAAAGAAGACAAATGGGAGGTCAGGTCACAGAGCAAAACCTTCTGTCAGACAGGTGTTCAACACCCCTCCAGAAAATCTGATTCGTTCTGGCACTCGGGCTGCTGCTGAATGCCGGGGGGGGGGGGGGCCCGGAATGGCTCAATTAGAGTTGCAAGAGTCACCGTGCCTTGCCACAGATGCTGCCCCCGGCCATAGAGTAGTTGTTAACTGGCACCATCAACTTGTACCAACTCTGACATGCCTTCGAGAGCCAACAGCCGGTCACCACATGGAGAAGACCCGGGTAGGACCCGTCCTGAGGCAAACCTCACGAACATTGTACAGGTGACAGTGGCCATCATATGGGCTGGGACACTGGTTTGGGACGGGTTACTTAATAGTAGTTACGTAATGAGGATTTGTGGCTCTGCTGATCACATCGACATTCAGGCTGAGGGTACCTGCCTAACCTCAAACTCCATCTGATCTTCCACCATCCTTCTCAGTATTGGACTGGGAAGCCACTGGCTGCCAAAACGTTTTCCACAATAAAGAGCCCAAGTAGTTTGCACATAAGTTTAATTCATCATCCTATCGGTTCTCTGGAAAAAACCACATTTATCTACATAATATTGTACAGGTATATTATGGCCTCTGTTAGAAGATTCTACAGTAACTATCCCCTACTTTATTTTCCCCTCCATGTGGGCTTGGTTTTGTTGCCACTGAATCCCAAGTGAAACAACCTTTCAAGTGTAAGGTTCTCTCTTGTTAACTTTCGCCAGTAATGAAGAACCTGATGAACTGTAACAAAAAGAGGCGAGCACAACGATAAAATATGACTTAGTGGCTTGTAGAAAACGCTGCTTCAGATTACAATGAAAAAATACAGATGAAATATTTTAAGGATGTGTTCAGTCGGAGAAGCATATTACAAAATAGTGATTTTTTAATAACATTTACAATAGGTGTTATATCGCAAGAAAGGTGGAAATATCGGAATGAGACGGTGGTCAGGGATTCGCTTAGGTAAACTGTGTACTGTATATGGGAAGTTAGCATAACAGAATAGGAAAATATGTAAAGTATGTTTATGAAAGGATAAACCACACTGTCCTACATTATGTTTAAGTTTTAAAAAAACGTCGCAAAATAGATGGTCCTAAATGTTCTCAAATAAAAAAAGCTTGTTGCTGGCTACAACCCAACTATGGTGCTAATGTGAGAATCGTATAATGATATACATTACCTATGTTAGGTCCTTAATTGATTATGCTGCTCCCATGTTGATATTTGCTAGAGCAAGTTCTTTCCGACCCTTGGAGTTAATGCAAAGTAAAGCTCTCAGAATTATTCTTGGCTGTCCCAAATCTACAAATGTTCTTAATAGAGGCAGAGCTTGGTGTTTCTAGTATCAGTGATAGGATTGTTGAGATTAACACTGTGCTCGGTATTAGAATGTTAAGATTCATTGTGACACTGTCACAATGAATCTTACTCAGTGTCTCGAAGTAAATACACACAGATCTAAATGGATTGTGAAAACGTGCAATTGGCATTAAGTTTATTATAACCTGTCGGTGCATATCCATTGAACTGTATCACTGTAAACAGTTTAGTTTAATATGGTTAATTATGCACACACCCAACCCGTCCCTGTTGGTGGTAGTCAAAAGATTACAGAGGTACATAATGGGTCCAGACTGGGCCCCCAAAGATTTGATAGCTGAGGCAAGTTACAAAGTTATGAACTTCCAGGTAATCTGGTCACAAAATCATGACAAGTTTACAAAGAAGGTATTTAAAGGAGCATTTCACCCCTCCATGAAGATGTGTTTCATTTAATATCACATACCTGCAAGTCCCTTCCCCAAGAAGCTACATTGCTAGTAAACCCTTCCTTAAATACGTTGTTAAAGGCAACTGCTCAAGAAGAAATCTCTCGGCCTATCTGGTAGTAATAAGTTATCACAAGTTATATACACTGATGGATCTAAATCATGAGACTACTAGTAGGGTGCATCTTCTCTTTGTTGCCCACCTCCCTAGTTAAGAACGATAATAAACTTGTTGAAGACTAGGCCATAAGAATTAACACTTGGGTGTTCTACAATTGCAAATGAATTGTTTGCAATCCTAAATGCACTTAAGCTCACTTAAAGACAACTGAACTTGACTCTATCATCATTACGATTCCTATGTCCCATTCACTGAGTGCTCTGGAATCATATAATGACATCCAGCAAGAAACATGCTTTTTTTGGAGAAGCCAGGTATATATACTTCAAAAATCATGGACAAAGGAATTATTTTTACAATTGCTATGGATCCCATCACACCATTGGATTCCTCCTATCATGATAAAGTTAATATGTTAGCCAAGAAGCTTATCGAGAAGGAGAATGTAGAATATAACTTTGGTAAATCTGTGTCTAGCATTAGGAATAATATTAGGAGAGTAAAGTACAATAATGAAAATGATTGTTATAGGAATGCAGTTAGCAGCCTGAGTAGATCTATAACCCACTATGAATAACATGACGTAGATAAGTATGTTTATGGAGCAACTTGGCAATGTGAACATACTGACGATGTTGTAGTGGCCAGGCTTCGGCTTGGGTTTACAAGTACTTCTGGCAGATTGGGAGACACACAGATGAATGATCAAACAAATGTAAATTATGTGATCAGGCCATATGGTTCACTCTCTTGAAACTATGTGCTTAATTGTGCCACTTATTGAGGAATATAGAATAGACAGTATAATAACCTGTGTTATATGTCAAGATATCTTATTAATGAAAATAAGATACCAGATACAACTAAGCAAATTTCCTAAATTTATGCTTGTAACAATAAGCGCTGAACTGCAGAGAAGATAGATATAAATCCATTGTACACCTTTTAAACCCTTTTGGAGCCAGTTTCCTAGGCCTTTTGTTGTATTCACATGCTCTTGCGCTACCGTCCACAGGATGGATATGGCATGCACAATAAACTAGCCACTTCGGTGGCAAAATGTAAAATCTAATCTGCATAATGTTTTAGAATGAATTAATACTAGTTACATGTACGAATAGCCTTAAGAACGGTGTTACCAAGGTTGATAGCATTTTACGAAAATATGCAGGATTTGCTAATGCATGATATAGTAATCTGTTAAGGATTAAGATACGTGTAAAATAAGAAACAATTGGATAGAATTGATTGGAAGGTGCCAACTATGCGCTACTTTACTCAATAACTACGCCTCTCACGACAAAATTTAAAATAATCTATATAGTAAATTGTATTGTTGTAATAATGTTGGTAGAATTACCGACAATATGTAAAGTAAAAGGACACAATGCAACTAAATGTGACATTTTATTGTGGCACCTTTTCGCTCTATTACTCCAGGAGCTTTGTCAAACCGTTACAAACCAATACAAGGACACAGGTATATATAAGGCTCAGAGTGAGGTCATACTAGTGTAGTAGTAGTAGTAGTAAAAATGACATTAGTTGTAGTTAGTGTAAGTAATACATACATGGTAGAGCATTAACTCGTACAAGAGTAAAAGGATATAAAAGCTATTACTGGGAACAAACATAAAAATATGTTGTGGCAAGAAAGTATAAAAATACCTGACAATATGAACAATTAAGACACATTGTGCAACATCGCTGGATATCTTTATTGCAGACGTTTCGCGCCATCCAGTGGCTTTTATCAATACAATTGTAGTGACATAAATGAAGACAGTAGAACTATATACAAAAGAAGAGGTAATCAGACCCTCAGCCTTGGAGTTATGTTCACAGCATCGTGGTGGAGGAGAATCTTGCAAAGGCAAGAAGACTGGCGGTTATATAGGCGTCAGTGGATAAGGACGTGCAGCAGACGAGGGCATAGTCACTGGTAGGCGGGATTCCCCAGTGGAAGTAGGTCCTTCCCACTGGGGAATCCCGCCTACCAGTAACTATGCCCTCGTCTGCTTCCCGTCCTTATCCACTGACGCCTATATAACCGCCAGTCTTCTTGCCTTTGCTCCAGATTCTCCTCCACCACGATGCTGTGAACACTAACTCCAAGGCTGAGGGACTGATTACCTCATCTTTTGTA